AATATGCAAATTATATAGATAGATATACAAGAATATTCAAAATTTCACAAAACAGAAAAAAAAAAAAAAAAAGATTGGTGTAACTTGATAAATTTTGTTGGTTAAGGAATTTTTTTTATTTTTATTGGTGTTTTTATGCACAATTTTAAGAATAGATGGGAGGTTTTGTGATTTTAACCCCATAAATAATTGCTCATTGTTGATAAATTATTTTATATAAAACACTAGATTTTCTAAATAATACTATTTTTTATTTTTTTCAAAAAAAAACTATACAAATAAGCAACCACAAAGGAAGCATAACAAAAGAATGCTAACAGCTGTATCATACATCAATAGGCCATGCCCCTCAAATATTATCTCCCAATTGTAAATATATTAAAAAGTACATATCCATCTATTGTTATTTCGCATCAGGAGTCAAGATAGAATACATCATCACTACCTAAATAATGTCCTTTATGAAATCCAAATCAAGCTCCACTCACTTAAAAGTATTGATTAATGGATCAGCTCAATTTATAGTCCATCACTTGAACAATGATTTACGTGCACCTACAGAAATTTTGGTCGCCACAAATTCATCCACATGACAAGTTTTATTTTGCACTAGGCAAATCAAAAATCACAATTTTGAAATATCTTAGTTTACTTTGTGAAATCCATGTTTCTAACAAATTAAATAAATTTTATAAGACATGCCATATTTTTATTTTTTATTTGAAGTTTATTGAATTCATGGTGAATAGAAAAATCTTAATTTCTATACAACATATATTGATCATATTATCATAAACGTGGTGTTTTTGTGCATTCACCTAAGAAATTATACAGTAAATACTCCCCGACATTGAATAAATTCTCTTAAAATGGGACCTTACAATTAATTCAAGATTTTTAACCTTATTATAATTATCTAATAATTTGGAGAAATTTCAACCCTGCATTCTTCCTACCATGTCAATAGGGACCCAAGATATGGAGAGGCTTTGGAAATGCCGGTGTGGGGCTATTATTGATGGCGTCTCTAACGGTCCAAGTCTGACCTATGGCGTGATATGATTAGAATTTGAAAGGACTTATGAAAGACTTGTTTCGAACTCTGAATAGAATATGTGTCCTTGATGAAGTATTGAAACTGAAATAGAAAATAAAAGTGCACTAAGAACTTAAGAAAAAATAGAAAATAAAAGAGTAAAAAACAATTCGTAACTCTGATACATTTAAAGAAATGAAAAAATATTACATTGTATTGATATAAGATGGATGAATATAAGAATATAAAGGAGTTTATACAGAAGAGGTCTTCGGAGAGCAAGTAAACCATATATGATAATGCTATTCACGGTAACGAGGGTAAATGAAGATCAATAACTCTAACCCTAATATACAATTTATAATATTTTCTATACCTAATGAATTAAATTAATTAAATATAAAGTGAACTTTATTTATCAACTTCATAATTCATTTTAAGACATGGAATTTGTCATCGGATGGCCCTTACACCACAATAAATTACATGGTTCTATACCTTAAACCTTCTTGAATTGGTTGGCATGAACTGAAATATTTTCTTTTATGGGTTTCTTTACTTCTGGTTTGGGGTTATATATAATGGTTATTCTGTGATCCTTGGCTTTGCTAAATGATATTTGGGTTAATTGGTGTTGGCTTACTATATATGAATGTGCAACATGTTCTTTTTAATAAAATTAATACTCTTTTGTCGTGTCACTACTCTATAATTTTCAATATTATTTTTTTCTTAATCTCATATGAATGGTGGGTCATATGAATGTTTTTATTTCTTTATAAAACACTATTAATATTATGAATATGATCTCATTATAAATTAAGTTGTAATAGAGTGTTCAAAACTTAGACACGTCTAACTGCATTTATGTGAGTGAAAGATAATATCATGACCATATCATCTCTCGCTAATGTGTCCGACTTTTGAACCCCTTTATCATTTTCATTGTGAAATTCCTTAATCAATGTGACAGATATAAATACAAACTAATGTAATTCCTTAATCAATGTAATTGGAGTGACATTATACTAACTAATTTATGAATAACAACTGGTTAATAGAGCTCTGGTAATCATGAGATCTAAGTCTTTCTTTCATGTGGATGGATCTGATGAAGACAAAAGAAAAAACAACTGGATAAGAGAGCTCAAGACAAAAGGAAAAACAACTGGATAATAGAGCTCTGGTAATCAAGTTTTTCATGACAGTGACAATGCAGTGAAAAACCCAAAATTAGTCCTATATGTTCGAAGTATAGAGAGAGATATATTGAAAGTAGTAATTAATTTTCCCAAATATATATATAAACAGATATTATAGACTATAGACTATATACGTTGAACAAACATTAATGATGGAGTCAGTTTTGGCTTGCTCAAAACAAAAGTCCTGACATGAAACAGATATTAAGCGACGGAGAGAAAAATTAAGTTATAGATCGAGATATATGCTTGCTGATCGGTGATGGAGATCGAGGAAGAAACCTTTAGCCAAGAGACATTTGCTACGGTTATGCAGTCTCTAGTTGTTAAGATCGAAGACAACAGACAAAACTTAGAGGTCCTGTTCACGGATGATGCCTGGCCACCGTTACCGGTCATAAAAAGTGTCCCCAATATGCTCCGTGAAGAAAATGGACAAGCTTACACCCCTAGCGTAGTATCTATTGGGCCTCTCCACAATAGAAATGAATCTCTGAAAACAATGGAAACCGACAAGCTGAGGTACATGTGTTTCTTGTTTGAACGAACAAAAAATTTGGAGCAAACAAGAAAAGATTGTGTGGAAGCAATGTCAAGGAAGGAAAAAACTTTCAAGAAATGCTATCCAGATTGCAAGCAGGAGGTTGACGATGTCACCAGTAGTAGTCGTCTTGTAGAAATGATGTTAATTGATGGCTGCTTCATTATCGAGCTTATATACAGGCATTACAAGATTGTAAAAAAAGACACTCTCGAAGACAAAAAAGACCCAATTTTGCAGGATGCTTTCAGGCACTCTACCGTACTACGTGACTTGCTATTGCTTGGGAACCAGATTCCCTTCTTTGCTCCTGAAGAATTGTTCCACCTCACGGTGAAATCTATCATGCCTGGTGCTAACCTTTTTGAATTTGTCCTCTAATTTTTTGGTGAAAGAATGGGCTTAGTGTTGGGATTTATATGCCATGGTATAGCAAATTCTGACATATGTTCCTGATGTTTCTGAAATATTTATGCTTTATATAATTGGTGAATTCAATATATTATATTTCGATTCATTATAGGATTGATAGTGTCCAGTTGATTACAAGAGATATTTATATATGTATGTGATGGCAATCAATACATGAATATAAATAGTAATCATAAATTATTCATAGTCGGTAATTATAGATGGACTCATAATTAATTAAGACTTGAACTGGATCCGCGTTAGGTTGAGATATATTGCGAGAGCCGTCGTATGTAATTACTCCCTATCACTGTCATGACATTTGACTCTTAAGTATGAGAAAATTATAAATTCTTTTATTAATTAATAATTACTTTGATTTGTTCGGCGGATACTTTGGAATCCTTAGACCGACACTTTGGGTAGTTATGTAATTAATAGTTAGAGGGTTATATTTTTAATATTTACATTATTGTTACTTGTATTTATTTTGTATTGATTATGGTTAATCACAAAGTAAATTCGAAGGCCTTCGTGTGTTTTTAGACAAAATGATTTATTATATATTTATTTATTTAAATTATTATTTTTGTCAAATAAATGTTTTATTGTGATCGAGCCAGAAATAGTCAATGGTACCAAAATAAATATATTAATTAAGTAGTCGGATTGATGGCTTTATTTATCCGATAACTAATTATGCATAAAGGGGTCAAATTGCAACATTGACTTAGATGTTATTTATTATTTAATTGGAGTTCAATTAATTTCTTTTAGTGGAGTAGAAATTGATTTATGAATTAATTGAATTGGGTTCATGGACCGGGCCAATTATTAATTCATTGTAGTCAATAAAATAATAGGCCCAATGGATTCTCACTCATAGCCCAACTTGATATTGGAATCATATTAGATTTGAGACATGTGAATTAGAGATTGAGAATGATTTGTTGTTTCCTTTTTTTTTTATTTTTATGTTGTCTATAAATATACATGGTCTATGTATATTTGAGGGGTGATTTTTATGAGAAGGAAAAAGGAATATATTTTCTCTCTCTAGAAAATTAGGGTTTATGTTCTCATCTAATGGAGGCTCCCACAAGTCTAGTTTTCCAAGGTCATTCATGGAGACTTATGAGTGATTCCTAAAGGCAAAACAATTACTAAGAAGATGGAGATCCAAGGAGAAGGCATCTTACTAAGGGATCTACAATAAGTGACAACATTCACTTTAGAGAAAAGATTTAAAGGTTTACTCAGACATTTGATGTAAGTATTCAATCCATTAATTGAATGATACATCATATTTTATTTTTGCATAAAACTTGTCTCTATGTGATGAATCAAGATCTATGAATCAAAATCCCTCAAAAAGTTTTTAAAACTAGCACGTTTCCCAACACTTAGAAGATAGAAGAGACTGGAGGAAAAAGAATGGGACTCCTACTCCTTATCATATACTCCATCTCTTGCACATTTGCTACCAACCAGCTGATCAACCCCAAGGTAGTATATCAGCATCTCAAAGAACTTGTTGTTTGATGTTCGGTTTTGTTTAATATAAGAGAATAACATAGATATATGTCGAATATGTTATGTATTATCAAGTATGTATAAATCATGTACAAGGAGAGGTATAAATAGGTGAGAGATCACCGACGGCTATACAATAATCTTGGCAACAATCTATACAACGGCTATAATATAATCTAATTATGGTAACAATCTTTACAACGGCTATAATCTAATTATGTTAACATCCCCCCTCAAACTCAAGGTGGTAGAGCAGAAACCAACTTGAGTTTGGAAATTAATTCCTGAAATCTGCCTGGCAGATGAGCTTTGGTAAAAATGTCAGCGGTCTGATCAGCGGAAGTTACAGAATGAAGACGTACAGTACCCCGAGCAACATGTTGACGCACAATATGACAATCAATTTCAATATGTTTGGTGTGTTCATGGAAGACATCATTATGAGCAATGTAAATAGCACTCCGATTATCACAATAGAGAACTATGCCTATGGAGTGAGAAATACCTATATCTGTTAAGAGCCATCGAAGCCAAATAAATTATTGTGTGGAATCAGCAAGGGCACGATATTCGACCTCTGTACTGGACCTGGAGACAACAGATTGCTTTTTGCTACGCCAAGAAATGAGAGAGTTCCTAAAGAAGAAGTAGTAGCCAGTAGTGGAACGTCGGTCAGTCGGATCACCTGCCTAATTAGCATCAGAGTAGGCACATAACTCAAGTGAAGAGTGAGAAGAAAAGTGAAGGCCCTGAAACATAGTCCCTTTAATGTATCGAAGGATGCGTGGTACAACAGTATAATAGGTAGATCGAGGTGCAGATAAGAACTAGCTGACAAGATGCACGGCATAAGTGATGTCAGGTCGAGTAACAGTAAGATATACCAAACTGCCAACCAACTGTCGATACAATGTAGCATCACTGAGGAGTGTACCATCTAGTGGAGTGAGCTTGACATTGGTTTCAATGGGAGTGGGAGCTGTCTCACAATCTGTGAGTCTAGCATGAGCAAGAATGTCAAAGCAATACTTGGCTTGGGAGAGATAATAACCATCTGAATCAGAGAGAATCTCTACGCTTAGGAAATAACTGAGGCGCCCAAGATCCTTCATATCAAAGTGATAACTAAGGAAATTTTTGAGTGCAGAGATACTTGCAAGATCATTTCCAGTGATTATCATGTCATCAACATAAAGTAAAAGAAGAGTAATTCCAGAGTTAGTCTTGTGGATAAAAAGACTAGAATCATATGAGCTTGAAGTAAAACCAAAATCTCCAATAGTGGAACTAAATTTTGCAAACCAAGCCTTTGGAGCTTGTTTAAGACCATATAGAGCGCGACGGAGTTTACAACCTTGGTGTGGAGAATGATCATATCCTGGAGGAGGTTTCATATATACTTCTTCAATGAGATCACCATTGAGAAAGGCATTTTTCACATCCATTTGAAACAATGTCCACTTGTGGGCTACTACAACAGCCAGTAGGCTACGAATAGAAGTAAGGCGAGCAACAGGGGCAAATGTTTCCTCATAGTCAATGCCATATTCTTGGTTGAAACCCTTTACAACTAGATGAGCTTTGTATCGTTCTACTGAACCATCAGAACGAGTTTTTATTTTGTAAACCCATTTATAGCCAACAGGAGTTTTATCAGAAGGAAGAGCAACCATGTCCCATGTATGAGCTTGTGCGAGAGCCTGCAATTCTTCTGCCATAGCTTGCTGCCAAAGGGGGCTAGAACTAGCCTCACGGTATGATTGAGGTTCATAATGAGACATGATAGTGGAGAAACACTGAAAATCACGTAAATGACTAGGAGGTTTTCTCACCCGATCAGATTGTTGGGAAGGTTTAATAGTGGTGATGATATCTGATGGAGAAGAGCTAATGGTAGGATCATCAAAAGATATGGATTCATCGCGTAAGGCCATTTGTGGGAGCTCAAATGAAGACATTGGATCTGGAGTAATGCTTGGGATCTCAGATGAAACAGATTCATTAGGTAATGCCATTTGTGGGAGCTCGGATGGTGACAGGGTGTCTGGAGTAGTGTTTGGATTCTCAGATGAAGATATTAAATTTGAAAGAGTGCAACTGAAGAATTAGTAAAGAAAAAAGGAGTAGAAGATGAAGTTATATGGAATTTGGATAGAGAAGAGAACATTTTGGGTTCCCAAAAGATGACATGACGAGAGATACGAAGACGTTTGGAAATGGGATCCCAACATCTGATGCTTTGTGTTTAATTCCATAACCTAGAAAACAGCACAGTCGAGCGCAAGGTTCTAATTTGGTATGTTCATGAGGCTGAAGTAAGACAAAACAAGCATATCCAAAAACCTTGAGAAGATTATAAGCCGGAATTATGCCATATAAACGTTCATAGGGAGATTGATTGCCAATAATAGGCATTGGAACACGGTTGATTATGTATACAGCAGTGAGAACTGCTTCCCCCCAAAAACGCTCAGGATAAGAACTAGATATTAGGAGAGAACGTACAGTATATAAGATATGCCGATGTTTACGTTCAGCCCGCCTATTTTGTTGAGATGTGCCAGGACAAGAGGAATAGGAGATTGTGCCATGTTGTCGAAGAAATTTTAGAAAATTTGTTTCATTGTACTCCATAGCATTATCAGCACGGAAGATTTTAATGGATCGTGAAAATTGGGTTTTGACCATATTTGCAAAATCATAGTAAAGTTGGGGTAGTTCAGAGCGATTTTTCATAAGATATAGCCAGGTAAATCATGAATAATCATCAATGAAGATAACAAAGTATTGGGATCCCCCCATTGTATTGTGAGGAGAAGGTCCCTATATATCATAGTGGACTAGATCAAAAGGAGTATATGAAATAAACGTGCTTTTATTGAAAGGTAAAGCAGGTTGTTTAGCAAGTTGACAAGGTAAACAAGTTACATCATCATTTTTAACTGGACCTAATTGACCAGTTGACGCTAAGAAGCGTAAACGCCCAATAGAAACATGACCTAATCGGGAATGCCAGAGGCTAAGTGAAGGAGTAGAGGTTGCTGAATCAACAGTGGAAATTGTATAGAGCCGATGAGAAGGAATGCGGAGATGGATGAGCTCAAATAGACGTCCCACTTTATGGCCTATCCCAAAGGTCTGCCCTATCTGTGGATCCTGTACATGACAACTGGAAGAAGAAAATATGACATTAAGTTTAAGTTCACATATCTGACCAACAGAGATAAGATTAATTGTGAGTTTTGGTATATGAAAGGCATTTGAGAGTGAGACATTGGGGGTAGAAATTTGACTAATGTGATTGACATGTAAGTGAGATCCATTAGCTGTATGAATTGTAGGTGTATTGGTGGTAGGATGATGGAAAGAAAACATTGTAGAATCAGAGGTCATGTGATTACAACAGCCAGAATAAAAAAACCAAGAATTACCTGAGG